TTCCTTGTTTTTAACAGCCACTTTTAGGCGCCTCTGTTCTTTACAACCTCATACTCTGGTGATGTTTCCATCACTTTTCTTAGCTCGTGTACCTTTCTCTTTTTCTCAGGACTCTCCTTCTGAGTTGCCTTTCCATTGTCTTCAAATTCGTGCTTTAGCGGGTGGCTAGCCTCAACCCCTGCGGCATTTGCGGGTCTTGTCATACAGAGAAGATCTATCAGGCCCCTGCGATAGATGACTTTTGAAGGTCCCTTCCAACCCAAATTATTCTATGATTCTATGAATACTTCTGTATAGTGGTACTGCGGGGCTCCCATGGGCTGCTAACACATGGTTTTGAGAGCAGCCTCATGTGCTGCCCAGGGAGCAGGTGCCAGAGCGCTCACCCCTGCCTTTCTGGTGAGGGGGTCTGGAGAAGGGTTACTCGGATCAGAGGAGTACCCAGGAGGTCAGGGGTAGTTTACCATGTTACACCCAAGTCCCGTGTTACACCAGTGTAAATTTTGTTGTAGGAGGCTTGGAGTGAGGCTTGGCATCCCAGGTGGAGAAAAAGGGTGCGTTTGCTCTGTGGAAGCAGATGAACTCGAATGCTCTTCCAGTGCACGGAGGAGAGCTTTCCCGCAGCATCCCAGAGCGGATCGCTCTCCCAGCGGGCAGCTCCGCCGCCCGAGGGTGCACCCGGTTCCCCGGGTGGGCTGGGCAGCCGCGCTCTGCACCCGGCAGCTCCGGCCTCTGCGGTGCGGGGAGGAAAAATGAAGGGGGGCAGGACGCCTCCCGAGCTGGGCTGTGAGGAGTAGGCTGCGGCTCGGGATCCTAGGGCATCGTTCATCATACCCTGCTCGCCTCTCTCCCGGCTCCTAAATAAAACCCCTGTTAACCTTCCCGCTTCTCAACAGTAGGGAACAAAGCTGGGGGAATCTAATCGCCACGCAGACTTTTCAAATTAGCATTTACTGCCGCATAAAAACCGGAGACAACTGCTTCTTTCTGGAGCTCACTTTCTTCGAAGTGCTCTCATCCCAGCTCTGGGGCAGGGGCAGTTACCCCTCGTCCCTGCTCTCCCCGCCCGGTTGTCCGAGGGCTGGGCAGGTTATAAATAAACCAGCGGTACATTTTAACCTTCGGCATAAATCAGCTGTGTCAGGGATTACAGCTAAATCTTTTCGCTGGAAATTCTTTGAGCGCAGGAGCTTTGTGTGTGTTATGATAGATCCTTAAATGGATACAGATTTATTGCAGAACACAAGGGTGTTGAAGGAAAAGCTTCCAAATCTCGGTTACAACCTCTGTTATGGGAAAGACAGGACGGATCCATGACAGCATCCCCGAACTTGCGGATGGCATGACAATTCACCCTGCGCCCATTATTAACTTGTTCCAATTAAAGCCTTCAGAAAGGCCGAGTTAATTGAGTATTATATTTTATTAGGAGGGAGGTGTCAAGCTTTACTCATGAGACTTCATCATCGGCCTAATGGGAGCTGCCCCGCAGGCAGATCTGTAACTGAATAAATTACAGCAAGGCAGGGAAATCAGAATGCTATCATTAAAAGCGATACACTTACTGAAATTCCTCCTCCACTTTCGCAAGAGGCTGTGGAGGTGTGGCTTTAATTAGTTATTTTAATGCAAAGTTAAATTGTTCCCAAAGTATTTTCTGACACAAAGCAGATGCGATGATTAGAACTTGAGTGAGACTGAAAGGAGTTGGCATCTGTTCCAGGTACATCTATATATTTTAAATTCCCAATAGAAAGTGAAAAATAATTAGAGCAATAAATAATAAACACTAAAAACAACACGATAAATTATCCCGATCCTTAAAATCCCGACTTGCTGAACGGCGGCTCAGGCCAGCCGGGCACAGAGCGGCTCTCCCGGGACCTTAATTCGCGAGGTATGGATTTGTTGACATAAACAGTTAGGAATGGGCTTTCTTGACCGGCTACGGCCCAGCGCTCATTACCTAAAGCCACGGGCGCTCGGAGCCTGCATTTCATGTTGTCACGTTGCCTTGTCAAACCCCGGAATTCCTGTTTTTTACAGGGAAGGAGAAAAAACTCGCTGGCTGCAGCGCGTCTCTCAGCAGCATCCCCGAAAGCGAAGGGGTTTGATCTCCGCCGGGAGCCCCTCGGCGAAGCCGGGGGCAGCGGAGACCTCAAGGGCTGTACCGTGGGGATGGAGCCGCCCCTGGTCGGGCACCGGTTCTCGGGAAAGCTCCGCGCCGCGGTAGCACCGCTCAGGAGCGGGCACCTGCTCCGCTGATCTCGGCCCGGGGAGAGCCCGGGGGTACCAGGAGGGGCCCGGGGGTCGCAGCTCGGCTCCGGGCCGGGAGGTCTGGGTGGTTGGTAGAGTCTGCAGCAGCGTGTATGTGTGTAACCCCCCCGGCCCCGCCCGGCTCCAGTGAGGTCTTCTCGGCGCGGGCACCGCCTCACCGGGGCTGTGTGTACGCGCACACACATCGCTGTAGAGGTGAGCTGGGCATCGCAAGTTTCCATGCAGTGTTGTATGCATAGCTACAAGTGCCCGATGTGAGCACATCTTTTGAAGGGACTTGAAGGCATTTATGGGGTGAGCTGGGAGCCCACGGAGGGCAGGATGGGGAGCATGACACAGGACGGGCCACCCGTCCAAGGAGCGCCCAGCTCCCCAGGGCTGCGGAGGAGGCCCCAGGCCGCGCGCTCTTCCCTTCTGCGCGCAGCTCCCGCGCAAGGAGGTGGAGAGTCTGCGATGCAGCCGCAGTGGGTTCAGCTCAGGGCTGTTCGGACAGGGAACGTAACAGTTTTCTTTCTCCAAAGCATATTTCCCCCTCCGTTTATCCGCAGTTTAATAGCCCTGCGGACTAATTCGTGTCTCTTGCTCTTTAAATACATATATGTATATTAAAAAATCATTAAAAGGAAAAAAAAATCACAAATAAACATGAAACAGCACTCCATATCCTAACTGTATTTCTCTCGTGCCCATGATCAGTGACCAGCACTGTTAAAATAAACCTTTTCCCGGGGTCAGTTCTTGAAGTTCTCCCACTTTCGGCAGTGCCCACATCCTTTGCAGAGAAAGTCTGTCGAAATAAAACCAAAGTGGTTATTCTGATTATTTTTTTTTTTCCCTTTCCAGAGCAGGAGGTGAATGTTTTCCAGTGAAAAACATTAGGAATTTCAGGGAAAAAGCTCATTCCCTCACTGGGAAACACAGGAACGAAGCGCTACGCGGTTCACGGTCCCTTTCGGTGCCGGCCGGCAGCTCGGCGAGTGGGTGACTTCTGGGCTCGTTTTGCTGTTGAGCTTTTTAGGTTTGTTTTGAGTTGGTTATAACTTCTTTAGTTCCTCGATGCGTGTTTCCCACCGTAATCCATAAGGTATTTGGCGGGTGCTACCAGCAGTTCCCAGCTAGCTTCACGAAAGGAATAAAAATCTTTCCATCCATTATATTTCAGTCTTTTAACACCAGAGCAATTCTGTCCCTGCTGTTTTAGTGGAAATACCGGTCTATAAAGCTGCAACTGCGGTATATTTTAAAATGCTACCTTTTTTTTTTTAAAGGGGATTGGAATAATTCTGCTTTGCTTGGGAAGGAAAAGTCTCAAGCAATGTACGCACGATTAATGTTTTATAACACTGTTCAAGGAAATTAAAAACATTCTGTGATATTCTTACTGTAAAGGCGGGACTTTTCTGGCAAAATGCTCTGTATATGTATTTCTTAGATTGCTGTGTTTTGAATAAGTAAGAATCTCGTAAAGAAAAAAACATGTTCCTTAAAAGTATGCGCTACCCGTTTTATTAAACTGATCATGCCAGCGTTCAGCTCAAAGTTTGTTTTAAGTAGGAATATTTTCCCAGACGTGTAATGGATTGCTTGAAAACAGAATTCTTTGCTTTTTAATGACCTGTAATGGCCAATTCATTTCAACCGCGCTTATCAAGGTGCTGTGTTAAATAACAAACCGGTTCTTGAAAACAAAAAAGTCATAATGAAAAATAAGCAGTCAGAATAATCTCCCATCTCCGAGCCAAAAAAATGCAATAAAATTAATTTAAGACTGTCAAAACATCAAAGTTGAGAAAAGGAGCTGCTAAAATAATGTCTCTTGATAAGGAAATAATAAAAACACACCAAAAAATGTCTACTCAATAAACTCCACTGGATTTGGGGGTCTGTGCTATATTTTATTTGGTGATGAAAGCACTTTGATGTCACTGTATTCCAAACAATTATTATTATAATTTTAAACAACCTGGTGTTTTCCATTACTAACGGCTTACGCTTTGAAGTTACACCTCATAATTTCTTAAATTAAATAAATCATTTTAAGTTTGCACTGGGAGCCTTTTAATAGCAGAGAAAGGAATATCATTATCTTATTGAGAGGCAATTGCAGTGGCTCCAGTTTGGCTGTAGCTGGGGGCAAAGTGGTGCACTATAACAGACATACTTTATTAGCCTCCCATAACTCTTGAAAGAACATTTTTATATTTTCTTTGATTCCTCCCCCTCCCCCTCTTGTTTTAAAGCTGTCCCAACCTTTAATTACTGCCTAATATGAAAAGCATTATTTTTTAATGCTGTGTAATTTACCAGAGGCAATAGGCCAAGTTAACAATTGTTTATTAGGGTTGCTGTTTCACACAGGGCAAAGAATGCTGTTCCAAACCCAACTTTTCATGGGTGGTTGCACTAATTAATACAGTGTCTGAGACTCCTAGGGGGTTTTTAATATTAAAGCCTATGGGGCGGAACGGTTTTTAGAAGTCCAGCTCCTGCTGACGTCCTCCTCCCCTCCCCAGTGATTTCTGCTGCTTTCAAGCTGTTTTGATCCGAGGGAAAAGTCGGCGGGCAGGAGGGGAGCGCCCTCGGAGCCCCGGGGGGGGCGGCACCCCCCACCCCGCCGAGCCCCGGCGCCCGCCCCGGCCTGGGGCGCTGCCCGCCGGGACCGGCTGCCCCCCGCCCGGTGTCGTCCCCCCCCGAGGCTTTCCCCCACTCCCCTCTCTTTGATTCCTCCCGTCAAGTCGCCTTCGCTGTAATTTAGGAGGAGGCGGGCGGTGCCGGCGCGGTGGCTCCGTGCGCAAAGGCGGGATCCCCGGGTCTGGCACCGTGGAGGCGAGGCGGGTCTGGGAGCTGCCTGTACCCCCCCCCTTCCTTCTGGTGCCGAGCAGAAACTAGGCTGCTTCTTGGGGTGGTGTGTGTCCTGGGGGTGCTGCTCCCGAGATTTTAACAGGGCTAATTCATCAGACTGTCACGGAGCATCGGCCAGCTCAGAAGAGCAGAGCTGCTCCCTCTCCCAAGCCGGTGACTCGGAGCATCCCTGTCCCCCCAAACCCTGAAGCGGCCGGTGAGACCTCGTTTCCCCGGCACTGGCGGGGATGCTGCAGGGAGGACCTCTCTCTTCCCACCGCGTCCGCTGCTCCTCCCCTACGCAACAAAAAGGAGACACGGGACATCCATCAGCTTGATAAATGGGGGTTACTCACTCCTGTTCTCCCTCCTAGTTTATTTTCTTAAACTACTGGGCAAAAAGTGTAATGACGGAGCGGACAAACACAGTAACAAACAGACGACAGCTTTATGGATGGAGCTCAGCTCCGAGGGCTGAAGGGTGTTAAAATCCGAGCTCCGCCACTCTTGCCCATTCTCACTCCAGCTCAAGTCATTTCAGCCCAAGCTGGAGAGAATAGGGAAAGGAAAAAAAAAAAAAAAAAACCAAACCCAAAAAAAACCCAATTCCACACCCCCCCCCCACAAAAAAAAAAAAAAAAAAAAAAAAAAAAAAACCACCGAAAAGCAGCCTTGGCTGAGTTTTAAAGGAGGAGACACTTACGGATTTATTTTATGGGCTGACCAGGACTGTTCTCCCTGCTCCCTTTGCCGTTAGCTCAGCTCCTTTGCTATTTTTCATGTTGGGCCCATGCATTTCTCCTCCTTTCTCCTTAAGCCTTTCTCCTTTTTGATGTAGCGAGTCAATTGAAGAATGTTGGTCTCGGTTATCAATCACCCAGCTGGGGCTTAAAGGGCTCGGGCTAATCAGATTTAATTGCTCATGTAGCGCCACTCCTGCCCTGGGCCACGACCGACTTGCTCAATTAAACCCCAAATACCTGCAATCAATAAATAAGGAATGACAACACGTTTAAGGGATTTATCCAGCAAAGGAATTGAACTGGAAACAGATTACAACAGAAAAAGGCCCCTTTATAATTAAACGTACACCTCTTAGAGAGGGGAAAGCTATGTTGGCGGGGGGGGGGGGGGGAGGGAAGAAGGGAGAAAGGAAAGATAAAAAAAAGAGAGATCTTGTTCTCTTTGCCTGAGGAAAGAAGAAATGCGGGCTCTGCCTTCGGAGAGGCCGTTCCCGATCACTTATCAGGTTATTTACAGCCCGGTAGACCCGGAGCCCTGTGCGGGGTCGGGACCGGAGATGTAGGCAGTGCCTCCCCCCCGCCCTGGGCCTTCCCCCGCCTTTCGCCACGGAGTCAGTTCTCCCCTCACACGAGTATTTTCTGTTGAAACGCCTTGGCTTGAGGCGTCATCTTTTTTGACGACCTGAAAATGTTGGTCCTCATCTCCTTAAAAAGAAAGAGAAGGAGGGAGACTTGCTTCGCCAGCCTCTCCTTTGGAACACAGTAGTAACTGACTGAGATCAAATAACACTGAAAGTGCATAAATAATCGCTTTTGGCACATTTGCCATTCCATTATTATTATTTAAAGAACTGCTTTGAAACTGACAGATGCAAAAGCGTCTGCAATTAATACCAAAACATATTACTTTGGACCATCCAGGCATGCTCTTGACCAGGGTTTCCGCATCAGCAGCTGCTGTCTTTTACTGGGATTAGGTTGTAAATTCACCCTTTCAGCAGATCTGCTGTCAATGTTCATGGAAAGAGCAACGAAAGGAAAGGAATTGGAGGAGGGAGAAGCTGGCCGCTAACCTGGAGGAAGCCAAGCAAGGTGCTCCTGCTCTGAAGTCACACTGCACAGAGGTGGATGTGTCAAAGTTGTGAATTGCAGACAATTTTGCTTAGCTCCAATTCCAGTGCCTGAATCAAGGCCATTAGTGGCTCAGATTGCTCCCTCCACTCCCTGGCGCAAGTGACCCTCCAAGCTGGGCAAAGAAACCATCTGGGACCATCAGGTGTCATTTCTTATCCCTAGTCCCAGGCTTCCAGGGCTGGAGCTGGTACCATCCACCCCTGCCCCAACACAGCAGCTCAGGACAGGATTTGAGCTGGGTGAATAGGTCACAGGGGATTGTCCATCTGGGGAACTCCTCTCCCTCTTCATACCCCATCCACTGAACAGCTCAGCTCTGAGCTTTGCTCTGGTTAAACATAGAATCATAGAATCATAGAATAGTTAGGGTGGGAAAGGACCTTAAGATCATCAAATTCCAACCCCCTTGCCATGGGCAGGGACACCTCGCTCTAAACCCTATCACCCAAGGCCTTGCCCAACCTGGCCTTGAACACTGCCAGGGATGGAGCATTCACAATCTCCCTGGGCAAAAACATGTCTGCTAATTACTGCACAAGTGGTCATCTTCTGCACAAGGTGTAGGGGCTGATGCTGGCCAGGCACCTGGTCCTGTGCTGGTTTCCCATGGCTCCCACTGGGACACAGAGTAACCCTAAAGCAAACCTGGCTATAACAGTGCCTCTCTAGAGCTACTTCTGCATATTTAGTGGCTGATCTGTAAGACAATCTTTGTGAGAAGTGAAGGTAAAAATCTTCATAGAAGTCAAGGTGTTGATTAAAAAAACCCCTCAGCTGTCAAGGGAGTATTTCTGTAAGGACTTCTGTTTGTTTGCTCCTTAGCTTGGTTTCCTAAGGAAGCTGGGATTATATGATCAAACTGTTACAGCCTTTTGAACTCCTGGGCCAACTGCAATCAAAATTGACAAGGGGGCAGAGGTCTCAGAAATAATCAGGTTGCTGTGATTTTCGCAAAAATACACTGCTGGATAGCAGAGCGACAGATCCTGTTAAATCCCCACTAAGGCTGTAACCAGAGCTCAACTCTTAAGAAACACGAGAGAAGCTAAATGGGAGAGAGCACAACCTTATGAATATCCCAGCAGCTTCTGCCTTGGCTACTAGAGAGAGCAGTTATGAAGCACAATTACCAAAAAGTAGGCTTCATGTGTTTTGCTGCTCGAGGATATACTTAATGCTTGTATTCATCTTTCTTTGCCACTTTCTAGACCAAACTGACTAGGAGAGCAGCAGAACATCAAAGGGCAGATTGAGGCACTGTCGGAGTCTTCTGGGACAGTTCCTACACTGTGGTTAACAGCATCATCCAGGGCAGCAAACTGCACAAACCTCCCTGGGCTGCCTTGGAGGAAGCCTGAGCATTGGTAGTGGGCCAGGAGGTCAGGAGATGTGAGTGGTCCACGAGTTTGTACAACAGAGGCTTTACCCTCATTGTTGTCTGTGTTATGTCTTTTAGAGTCATGTGGAAAGCCACATTAACAGATTGATGCAACTCCTGTCTAGTATCAAGGAGGAGAGGAAGAATGAAAATTCTCCCAGCCACTTTGATAAGCCTCAAAGCAGGCTACTGAAACTATTATATATATTTTTTTTAAGTAGTAAAATAGATCAAGGAACAAACAAACGTTTGTATTAAGACTATGAAACTTGAGCTGAAAGTTTTTCCTGTACTAAGGCATCTTTGCTTCTTGCACTCTCAGTCAAGCCTGAAGAGCAGTTCTGTTAATTCATGTTTGGTACAATTAATACTTAGCTGGATGCTACATGACACTTGTTTTTGAGGTTAGTATGTGCTGCCACACTTCAGGTTTAGGCAGATGTGCCAGTAGGAAGGTGGGTGGTACTGCAAATAGACCCATTCATGTGAAACGCTTTACTTCCTAGTACGGAGAGAGCACGATTCATAACTCTGCAGCAAAGGGCAGCAGCCAGTCATTCTACACTGCTACGAAAGCAACAAGACCTTCCCTGGCAAGCCAAGTGCAGAATGAGACATTTCCTCCTTGCTGATGCCAAGTAAACTGGGCCAGTTTGGAATAGCTCAGCTAGCCAGGTTGCCAGCTCATGGCTGTCTCAGTATCTGAGCTGTCATTTAGAAAAAATAAAAGCACAAATGTTTTTGTTGCTATTGAAAATACCAGCACTGGCAGTTCTGAAAACTAATACAATGTGAACAAGGTACAAGAGATTTTCTGAGCCTGTAGAAATGACAGGTCTTACAGTTCCTTGGGGGGAGAGAGGTTTTTACTCTATGTTGTTGGACTGTTAACTCTGAAGCCTAAGGAAGGCAGTCAAGCTAGCAAGTGTTTCACTACCCACAGGAGCTCAAGATTTGAAGAATCTCATTAAATGGCATCTAAATTTAGCATCAGGCACAGCCAAACTGGAGATAAACTAAAGGAAAACTTATAAAACATAGAACAAGGGAAAGCAAATATGACGAGATTCCTTCCAGAGTATACAGCTGCCTCCGCATACTCCAGCTAATCCCTACTGGCACATTTCTCTTTTTTTTTTTTTTTCCCCAGATCTGACCATTTCCCCTCTTTAAAGACTTTTTGCTCTTTGAGGTGAGTGGGGAAGGGAAAGAGAAGGAATGAAAACAGGGAATGCCATGAAAGTCTGCTGTGTGCAAGACTGGAATAATCTGAAAGCATTACAAATGCAGAGCAATGCATGGGAGGAGATAGATGGAAATGTCACATGGAGCCAGTCAAGGGGCTGGCCTCGCTGGGACATACAAGAACTGGAGTGGGAACCAGTTTGTGAAGGAGCAACAAAGGCCAAAAATCGAATCACACAGCATGAAATGGTATCACTCATGAAATTCAAACAAAAATTCCCCTAAATATCCAAAGTAGTCTATTTATTCAATACCTAACTTTTGTCTTCCAAGCCATGTGAACAAAAATATTGAACACATTATAATCAGTTTTGATACCTTCTGACTTGGACTTCACACATAGAATAGTTAGGGTTGAAAGGACCTTAAGATCACCAAGCTCCAACCCCCTGCCACAGGCAGGGACACCTCACACTAAAACGTGACACCCAAGGCTCTGTTCAGCTTGGCCTTGAACACCGCCAGGGATGGAGCATTCACAACCTCACTGGGCAACCCATTCCAGTGCCTCACCATCCTAACAGTAAAGAATTTCCTCCTTATATCCAACCTAAGCTTCCCCTGTGTAAGTTTTAACCCGTTACTCCTTGTCCTGTCACTACAGTCTCTAGTGAAAAATCCCTCCCCAGCACCCTTACAGGCCCCCTTCAGATACTGGAAGGCTGCTCTGAGGTCTCCATGCAGCCTTCTCCAGGCTGAACAGCCCCAACTTTCTCAACCTGTCTTCATATGGGAGATGCTCCAGTCCCCTGATCATCACCGTGGCCCTCCTCTGGACTTGTTCCAACAGTTCCATGTCCTTGTTCACATGTAATGAAGTAAGACCCAGTCCTCCCTCTAGTCTTGACCTTAAACAGCGAACTGTGAGAGTATGGTATCTGCAAAGAGCTGGCTTTATGTGATATGTTTTTAAACTGAAAGATTCTGTGTGTTGTAGGATACAAGAAGGCATCTATAAGGCTATATCCCAACAAGCATTTTTCTGTCCATAGCAGCAAGAATATAAAGAAGAGCAGCTACTGGGAAGCGCCATGTGATGATGTTGCCACAGAGGCAAAACTGTCTGCTTAGAAATACTAATTCACTGACTTTGAGGGATGCAATTTACTTTTGGGATCTGGGAATTACCTTTCTGATACCTAGGGTCTAGGTACCAACCTCCTTGGTGCTCCTGGAATAAAGTCAGGAGGAATTAAGCCTCTTGTATTCCTCTAAGCCCTGGGGATATTACTTATTGATAGTCTGTCTGAGGGACCAGACAGTTCTTTCTCATCTTGTGTGGCTGCAGCAACAGCAAGGTGGATTCCAGCTCCAGTTCCCACTAGCTTGCTCAAGACTATGAAATGAAGTCTATTATTGGAGAGAGGTAGAAACATGTAGTCTTAGGCTCACCCTACCCTCACTTCTTCCCTGATAGCACCCCAGCTCTGTGCAGTGGAGGTGATTTTAAGACGTTACGGCCTCCAGCTGTCTGCCTCGCCCAGCTTCCAAAAGTTGGCAGAAGGTAACGTGTCTGTGCTTCAGCTGCTCCAGTCCGTGGTCTGGCTTATTAGCTTAAACTGTTGAGAAGACCAAAAGCTGATTATGCATTGCCTCTAGGAAGGAAAGCACCAAAGAGAGACTCCAGTTGTCTCCTTTGGTGCTTTTAGAAGAATAGACCTGTGTGTATATTTGCTTTGCTCTTTGTATATTAAAATACATTAACCTTGAGAAATGCAAAGTAAATTTACTCCTACAGACTTTCAGCTGATGCTCGGAGCTTGCTTCTTTGTGATATCACGAGAGCGTAAGAGTCACTGGGGCTGCTAAGCTCGCACTGGCACACAGTAACATTAGACATTCCTTGAACTGGTGTGACCGTGTTTTATGGTTGGACTGGAAACTCAGACACAACCTGTAACAGCTGGGAACTGGTGGTAGAAATGACCAGGATCACTGATTTCTCTTTGTTATTGCTTAAAAAACATCTTCATACCCTAAACAGAGTTCTTTCGGACTAGATTTTAAAATATTATTAACCAAGATTTTAATATATTATCAGTCAAGATAAACGCAATAGAAAGGAAAGAATATCTTCTTTTTCCAGACAGCAGCTCAGACACAGAAAGAATAAGGAATTCATCCTAATCACATGGAAATCTCTGGCAGAGTCCCATCAGTTAAATCCTTGCTGGGCTAAATATTTTGATGGCCAAACACACATACAGTGACTCTCAGTGTGCAAGTTCCTGCATTCTACTACCTGGGAAGAAAACCTTATCTTTTTGCTTTCATTTCCTTTCTACAGAAATTTAATAGCTAAAAAGCTGTTGTGAGCCATCACGTTAATTAGAGTTTATTGCTTTTGCTTGTAGTATGCACCAGCATAACAGTAAATTCTAATAATCCAAACAAAAATCAGTCTGTTTTATAAAACATAATCTCTTTCTGGTGTCTGAGGAGAGCTATCAATTCAGAGACTCGATCTGGTTGTGCCTGAAGTCAATGGGAAAGCTATTAATAGTGGCAGGATCAAGTCAGTTCACTAATTTGCCAAATTCCCCATCATTAGTGTGAATTAATGAGATCCTACTGGAGCTGCCTTTTGGCTGTAGGTGAAACGGAACATGCCTGGCAGCACATCAGCATTAGAAGGGAGGCCAGGGAGGAGAGGCGTGGTTTGGGGGGAGGGAGATGAGC